AATGCAGTGAATGTTTCAGAATATTGAGCTGCTGGGAGAGAAGGTTTTCAATTTACGTGATCCCATCAGTTGAAAAAAGTAGCTTTATCTGAGCCCCAGGCCTTTCCTCCTTGGCAGTGACATTCAGGGGATGGTGCCTGGCCCTGTTATGAGCTAATACACTGCTGTGGTGTGGTCAGGGAAGGCACCAGGACTCAGGAGCTGGGAATTGCTCTTTCTCTGCTGCCTAGATGTGGCCAGAGGGAGGAAGCCTTGGGAGTTCTGGGCCAGATCTGGTGAGAAAAGCAGTAAAAATGAATTGTGGCTGGCTGCTAAGGAAAACAGCAGGGGAGGAATGACATCCAGCATGGCTGCAGATTCAGTGGTGGTAATGAAAGAGCAGGAATGGTCTTCTAGATTGAACTGAAGGGCTTGCTTCTGTTTAGCCAAATTTTATTGCTTATCTTATTGTTTATTTGCTAAGCTACAAAATAAACTTTCAGCACTGTTATCTTACACGCCTGTTCTAACATTAGGAGCCTCAGTTTGGCAGGAAAGAGCAAGACTTGCCAGAATTTCGTGTTTCAGTCTGGTGAAATGACTTCATCTCTGTACTTCCAAAGGAAAGGCTAAGGAAAATTAAGTAGTTTGACTATCTCAGCAGGCTAAGGGCAGGCTTGTGGCCACTGAGATGAGCAGCATTACATTAACTATGAAGTGTCACCTGTTCTCACTTGCATGTACCACTGGTAGTAAGTCCAGTACTAACAGCGAGTGTCCTGGTGCTGATCATGGGCCTGGAGGCTGTGAGCCCATAGAGATATTACCAGGGCAGGTACAACTCATTATTCTGAACACAGTGCTCATTAACTTTTAGATTTCATTGTAAGTTTCCATGGACAAAGCTAGGCGAGTGTCCTTCACTTACTTCTGCAGCAACCAAAGTTTCACTCCGTGTGCTGAAGGTCTGCCATTACTGTCAAACCCTGTGGGATAAATATGGAATAAATATGGACTAACACCATTTTAATCATGCTGCTGTTAGGAGTAAAAAACGTGATTTAGGTCTCTCTTCAGAGGCTGTGTAGGAGTGAACAAGCAATTCATGGAGCTAGTTGATATGCTGAGGTGTGTGATTGTGGGACAAAAACAGAGCAGTTGGCAGAGCTGTCTAATTCTCCATCTCCTCCACCCTCCCTCCTCTCCATACCATCTTAATCATGTTAACTCACCTCTCAGCAGAATTCTGAGGAGGTCCTTACAGAATTCAAACTTTTTTGTGGTTGTATTAAATTCTCTTCATCTATGGGCTCCTAGATAGGGAGGAATTACAGGGGCTTTTGGGAACAACTTGGGCTCCAGTTAGCTGCTGTTGTGCTAAGTTTATGTACAATCCACATTTATACAGAGCATAACCCTGAAGAGCTATCAGATGAACAGAAAAGGAATCTAAAGGGAATTAGATTCCCCTTTTAGGCTGAAGAAAGCCTAAGGGTGCAGCAGCATTGCATGACAGGGATGGAAACATGATGCTGGGAGCAGGATATGTAGAAGCTGATGAGAATGATAGCACATACATTTTGCGTGTTTGTTTCAATGGAAGTTGACTGCTCATGTAGCTTTAGCTATCTACATCTTGTTGCTTAAATACTTTCCAAAGTGTGGTCGTAGGCATCAGTCCTAATTTTATGTCTCACCAGAATGTTACAATACAAAAGATTCATTCATCTCTAGAAAAGCAGGTACTGAAATTGAAGCCTCAACTCTTTCCGTCTTCATCTCATTTCTGTCAGAAGTTGTGTTCTCCCCACCACTTTTTTTTTTTCTTCTTGTTAAAGAACAGATGTTACAACTCTCACTGGGTTCACTTTCATTAGACTCCAGCAGCCTACTTGTACGAGTACTGGTTTGCACTTGGTACTAGGCTTGTGCAGATGCAATTGCATGAAGTTCAGTGAAGTTATACCTAGTTTATACTAGTAATACAGGACCTACCTAGTGTGAGTCACCTCTTCATTCTCTTCAGCATGAGAAAAAAAAATATCTTGGACCTATGAGTAATACATTCCATGTCAGAAAACGTGAGTTGAATGGATGTGGTAATTCTTCTAGCACAGCGTGTGTACAGTGAGAAAAGAAACAGAGCTTGAAAAGATTCGATAATGTCACCAAGTCTCATGCAGGCACAAGCACTGGGTAGCCCAGAGGTGCAGGAAGCTCATTTTTCTGTCAGTTTGGTTTTGATATCAGAAGATCAAGTGTCCCTTGGTTCCACCCATGTGGAAGATGCATCTGGCTCCAGATTCTTCCCAAAGTCAGTTTAGTTTCTCAGTTCCTCCTTGCATAGACTCCTCATGGAGAGATGAACCAGGATAACTTGTCACACCAACAAAAAACCAACAACTCACCCCACCATGTTAACCCATATTCAGTGGCTGGTTGCAACCATCTGTTGATGCTGATTGTGGTATGAAAAGAGGCACCTTCTAATTTAATTTTTGCAGTGACCTTATTTCATGGAAGATGGGTGCAAGCGGTGGCTTGCAATCTTAAAGCAGGTAGATCATGTCAATACTGTCTACTTTTTCAAAGCAAACTGAAGACTGTTTTTGAAAACAGCCTAACTTTGACAACATAATCACTTAATATTGTTGGTGAATAGCGGTGTAGAATTTTTTCTTTTTGGGATTCTGGAAGTTCAGGTGTACAGTAAACGTTTTGCTAGATGTCAGCAGAAGTATGGATGCAGCTACTAATTTCTTTCCAAAGCAAATGCATGTAGTAATGATGCTGAAAATAAGAGTAGAGATTCCTTTAGTCACGTTCTCTTCCTTCAACTGAAACAAGCAAATTCAGTGCCTGTAAATGTGGTCGCTAACTCGGTACACGTAAACCTTGACTGTAGTTGGACTGCAGGTGTGGAAACAACAGTACAAATCAATAATAAAAATGTATAATTTAATAATATAAATATATATTAAAACTGTGACTAGGCAAATGCTTTCTTCCTAGTATGGTTTTCCAGTGCAGTAAAAATATTCTTGAAAATAAGGTTAAAGGTGTAACTGATAAGAAAAGTGATGCTTTACTTAAATGCAAGCAGCACTCTTAGGCTGGGCCACCTCTTTGCAAGAAACCTTTAGTCAATCAGGAGATTATTACCAGTATTTTTGCTGAAATGTGAAGGCTGACTTCACAAAGAGGAAGACTTTACAAAATCGTGTGAAAGTCACGAGCCAATAAAGGGAAAAATTAGTTCTGATAGTTCTTCAACACACCATGATATACTTAAAGGGGAAATAAATGGCTTGTAAATAACTTAATTTTTAAATTTAATATGCTGTATTGATGTAGGAGAAATAAAATTCTGAATAAAACCTTTGGATTTCCTTGGAAGAAGGTATTGTAATCAACCTGGATTTGAATGGCCAGGCAAGCAGATTTTTCAGCAGCTTCTTTCTGCAAGAAGTTTTAGTGAAGTTCTGTGCTGGTCAGAATATTTCTGATGGATACAACTTCCAAATTGGAACTCTGCAGGACAAAATTTCTGTTATTCGTCCTTTTGTAATTAAAATGAAAATTTCCCTTAGAATCAGATGGGCCCAAATGGGTTTCTGATTATGTACATCAGCATCGTTAACGTCAGTAAGCTAGACTTGATGCTGCTGTGTCTGTTATTTTACTCTTCTGCATCGCCTCAAATTTAAATAAATAATTCTTCATATGTCCAAATATAAATAAAATATTCAAAAATCTTTCTAAAGTAAATATCTAGCACTTAATTTATGGTTCTGGCGTGGTCAGAAGCAGTGCTTGAGTGCTATTTTTAAAAGTACTATCGAAGGAAAAATTTGACAGCCAGTATACACTATCTTAAGTATAAAATAGCACTCTTTTTTTTTTAAATGTAATTTTTTACCCCTATTTTTAAGAAAGAACACCCCTTGTTTGGGTATGCTGGTCCTGTGACTTAGACAATATTCTGTCTGCAGTACTATCAGAGATGAGGAAGTGGAGTTGGATGCTTGCAGCACAACACCATTACTACATATTCAGAAGGCAGGGACCACCTCTTAGTGTCTTGCTGAGCAGCAGGATGTCGGTTTTGCACTCTTCATTGTAGTCCTCACTGGGTTACCATCGCTGCTTGTGAAGTTTAGAGCTCACTAGTTTCAGTTTAACTTACAAAAGCATGGAAGAACTCAAGTGAGATCAGTGCCCTGCTTTGCCAAGCACTGTATGAAGACATTGAATGCAGTGTTGCAAGATAATGAGCTGACATTCAAAGTACAGTGCAGAAATACCTCTGCAGCTGACTGTATGGTCACACAGCAGGATTTCTGATTGGATGTTGACACCTTGTGCCACTGTCTGTAGAGAACAAACGCACCTTGCTAAGAAGAGAAAAGCTTGCAGCCTTCACCACAACTGATGCAGTGGAAAGGTGGGGTTGTTAGGTTGTTAGCATCCCGCTGTCCTTGCCATTTCTGGTCCTGGGCACAGCTCACTTAGGTCCTGATGTACGTGCATTTGGCAGAGAATAGAACTTGTGAGGACCTGGGCTTTCTTTCCAGAGCAGAGCTGCTGTAAAATCACTATAGCTTTGCACTAATTGACCACAGCAATGTATCTGATGCATCACATCACCATCACTATAATACAGTGGGCTCTCCACATATCAGACCACATTTCTGTGCTGTATGGAGACACAAAAAGTACACCTCAGCATGAGAAGGTGGTTCCTGTCACGTGCTGTTTAGAGTAGTAACTGATTCCTTTCCAGCTGCTGTGACACTTTCTTAAATAAAAGGGCAAGACACACACAGGCAAACTCACTCCTCTTTCTGCTGCAGTTAAATGCAACAGATGCTGAATTTAGCTGGAGATAGCTGCATGAATTTTGGAACCATCTTATGGCATAAGTGTCATCCCTTAATTGCCCCTATTACTGACAGTCTCCTTTTCTCATCCTCACCAGTTGAGCTTTCTTATCTCAGTTGTGTTTTGTTCTTTTCCTGCAGGAGAAAATACAAGAAAACATCGCAAAGGTAAGACTAAATCACAGAGGTATGGAAGGTATTTGTGAGTTATCTGTCTCTTTTTTGTTAGGGGGTTTGAAGGAGGATTTCCTGTTACAAGATTGGTTTTGTTCCCAATGAAATGCCATTCCATGGATTGTTGCCCTGTTTGAAGGCCAATCTTGCACTGCTGCTCTGCATTCCCTCTGGTGCTAGTGATAGTCCTCCTCTGTGATGTTGGTGGAAGATCTCCCTGAGTGAAGACAAAAATATTTGCCCTTGAAGGTCAAACCTTGATAAACGTCACTGTGTTCCTTCTGCACGATCTGCTGGTCCTAACTCCTATCACTTACTCATCCTGTAATAAAAAAATGGATTGTTGGCTTGTAGTGTTGCTAATGATCTGTGCCTTTGCAGGAGACTGAAGGGAAGCAGCATCTTGTCGATTAAAATGCCCTATTACAGCTCCCTGATTCAGTTAACTGACTGCCTCCTTGCAGGAGGGAGGACTAATGGGGTTCTTTGGCAGATTTGTTTTTCCTTCCTGGGAGCCCTTATGCTTGTTTTCGTCAGACCACGCTCTCTACAGCCCAGATTTTTGGGGCTGAGCTGATTCCTCCTCCACATCTGGAGCATTAATTGGTGGCTTAGTCTCATGACACGCTGAGCATCTTTAGTTTGTGTCGACTTTAACTGAATTTGAGACTCCTGCAGAGTGCTTCCTGAAGACTAAACCCTGCAGCTCTACTGAGCATACCCTTCCCCGTTGTGTGGTGCTGGATGCTGGCAGCTTCACTGTTGCCTTGTGCTTCAGATGACCACCCCATGCAACAGTGGTGGGACAGGCTGTGGATATGCTTGAGTCACAGCCAAGAGAGATGGCACTGTGGTGGCGTGAGTCACTGATGTCGTGTCCTTGAGTTGTGACAGGTCAGTGGAAAAGGCTTATTCAGGGGTTTATGTGCTCAACTGTGCAGGTGGGCATTGCATAGAGTGAGAAGCACAGTAGAGACAAGGTGCAGGTTTGTCTAGATGTTTTTCTGCAATTGGAGCTGACACTACTTCTGCACACAGCTCCACTTTTGCCCCATGTTTCCCTTGCTGTTCCATGGATGTTAATTATGAAGATGTCTGTGGCCAGAGGTGTGGAGCTGCTGCAAGAGGATTTATGCTGGGCCTGAAATGTCTTCCAGAATGAATGATTGCTGTTTGTGTCCTGCACTGCTTGTGTTGTCCAGTGTCATGTTTTATTTGGATGTATTTTCTGTGTACACAGCCTTAGTATCAGAGAGGCTTGTGTTCAGCATCTCTTTTGTATGGGAGAGTGTCTGCAACCTCAGAAGATAGTTACCAGCTCCTACAATCTTGTATCAATGACATTGTGCAGATAAATGCATCTGAAATGGCAATCTATTTAAGCATACCATTACAAGGGTAAGCTTTCCCCACCAGATGGACAGTTTGCATGTATTGCCAACTGATGCAGAAGCGTGATGTCTGGAAAAGGAGGTGGCAGGGTAGCTGTGCATCAGAAGGCTGGCATAGAGTAGCATCTCTCCGAGATGGTAATTCCAGAAATACACATAAACTTATGACTTGGCACAGGTCTCTACTTTCAATTCCCACATTTATCTGTTGTGGGATTTTCTTCTTTTTCCTTTGTTGCGGTTTTTTTTGGAAGCATCTCTGTGATTCATATTTTACCAGGCTCTGGAGGGCTACTGGCAGCTCAAGCAAAACTATCCCGTTGTTGCTTTTGCATCTTCTCCATTTCTCTTTTTTGGGAATGTTGTCAGTAATCACATAATGATGCAAAAGTGGTAGTAAACAGCACTTGACTGTGCAAGAGGAATGCTCTTCCATACCCAGCAGTGTAAAGAAACAGTTTTCCCTGAGTTCCTTGTTGAGAAGGAAGTTGTGCAAGAGAAGTTGTGAGAAAGAGCCCAAATGAAGTCTGAGCCACACTAAAATTGTAATTGGAAATAACAGACACTGACTCCTGCATTGATCATTCCTAATTCTCCTAATTGAGTTGACTTAAATGCTTTTGTAACAATAATGTATTGATATGATTTTCCTCATAAAGTTGGAAGTTTCACAGCTGTCTAGACAACCCTAATTTTATTAGTCTCCACCTAGTAATTGCAGCTGAACCAGTGAACTGTGATACTGATTGATCACAGCAATGTTGGAGAAGCAAGATATTTAATGAGAACTCAGGTCATCTATCATTCTTCCATCTCACTCACCTTGGGTAAGTGATGAGTGGGTAGCTCAGGCAATAGTAGCTTGCAGAGGGTGTCAGCAAGAGGGAGAATAGACAGAAAGCAGAAGCTTTTGTGAATTCCCAGGTCCTGCATTGCTTCTGCTTTTTCTGGAGCACCTGAAACCTTGGTCATGTTCTGTGTGACTGCTGAGACTCCCAGCAACCCAAAAGCACCGAGCTGTGGGATGCCTGTGGGAGTTGCTCACTGCCTTCTGTTCACTGGGAGATGAGCAAGAAGTGAACCTCTCAGGTAGCCCTTTGCAATCCCTTCTTAGTTTAGCTCAATCTCCTCTGATGAAGTTATCTGCTGGAAAAGCAGTTCGGCCATCTGTAGGCAATCCAGGAGGCTCCTGGAATGCATGGAGGAGAAATTATTGTGCAAAGTAATAGAGAGCCCCACCAAGGGGGATGCAGTATTGGACCTGTTACTCACCAGTGCAAATGAACTGATCGGTGACATCAGGATTGCAGGCTGCCTGTTCTGCAATGATTATGCAATGGTGGAGTTCACAATCCTAAAGAATATGGAACAGACAAATAGTAAAATCAGGACACTAAATTTTAGGAAAGCCAACCTCTAGGTCTTCAGGGAGTTACTCAACAAAATCTTGTGAAAAACTGTCCTCAAAGACAAGTGAGCAGAACAGAGCTGGCGGATCTTGAAGGAAGCTTTCCTTTGTCCGCTCTTCATCTCCAGGTGTAGGAAGTCAGGAAAGGAAGGCAAGAGGCTGGCATGGCTGAACTGGGACCTATTGGTCAAACTAGAAAGCAGGAAATGCACAGGCAGTGTAAGCAGGGACAGATATCCTGGAAAGAGTATAGGGATATTGCTAGGCTGAGTAGGGATGGGATGAGGAAGGCCAAAGCCCAGCTGGAATTGAATTTGTCAAGAGGTGCAAAGGAGGACAAAAAAGGCTTCTGCAGGTATGTCAATAAGAAAAGGATAGTCCCATAAGAGGGTGTACCTCCAACAGAGAGGTACAGGCAGGCTGATAACAACAAGGAAAAGGCTGAGGTACTCAACAACTTTTTTGCCTTTTTTGCCTCACTGTCAACTGCTCTTCACACACCCCTGAAGCAGGTGGGTCAGAAGGTGGGGAATGGGGAAGCAATGTCCTTCCTGCTGTAAGCAAAGATCAGGCTCCTATTAAAGAATATTCATAAGTCTGTGGGTCTCCCACAGTCCTGAGGGAATTGGGTGATGTTGTTGCCAAGCCACTCTCAGTGATATTTAAAAAGTCACGGCGGTCAGGTGGAGTCCTTGATGACTGGAAAAAAAAGCAATATAACACTGATTTTCAAGATGGGTAGAAAGGATGACCCAGGGAAGTACCGACCTGTCCACCTGACCTCAGGGCTGGGGGAGATGATGGAGCAGATCCTCCTGGAAGCTATGCTAAGGCATATGGAAGAGAGGGAGGTGATATGGGACATCTAGCATAGCTTCACCAAAAGCTGGTCCTGCCTGACCAACTGTGCGGTGTTCTGTCATCGTGTACTTGCATCAGAGGAGAAGGGAAGAGATACTGGTGCCATCTCTCTGGATTTCAGTGAGGCCTTTGACATGGCCCTCCACAACATCCTTGTTTCTAAATTAGAAAGATACAGATTTGCTGGCAAAAAATGCATAGCTGATAGGGGTGACTGTTGAAAAATAGTGTTTTGTAGCTGAGAATTTGCTCTGTCAAGTAGTGTTATTGGGCTCTTTGTAGCTGTTGTATCTTCCATGGAAATAAATAGGAGCATTAGTTTCAGAGAGATCTATGTATAAGAGGGGAGAGGTTTAGATTGGGTATAAGGAAAAGTTTTTTACAGTAAGGGCAGGGAAGTGCTGGGACAGGTTACCCAGAGAGGCAGTGGTTGCCCTGTCCCTGGAGACTTTCAAGGTCAGGCTGGATGGGGCTCTGAGCTGTAGGTTTACTGGTTCATTGCAGGAGAATTGAACTAGATGACCTTTAAGAGTCCCTTCCAACTCAAATGGTTTTGTGATTCTATGACCTTAAGTTCAGCCAGCAGTCAGTTTAGCACTTCTAAGGACTCACTGAAGTCCTATATATCTTCTCAAGATTTGTCAAATGAATGATCCTGTGTTAGAAGGCACTTTGCCATTATGATCATAGAATAGCTTAAGTTGGAAGGAATTTCAAATACCATCTAGTTGCAGCCCCCAGTAATTTGCACTAAAGCATGTGCACTCAGCCAGTAACACAGAACTGTGTCTGTTGTGTTTTGGTTTAGCTACATGTTGGTTAATTGGACAGTTTAATTTTTCTTTAAGATGCAAATGCTTCTCTTAAAGTTCACTTTTATATAAAAACTAAGTGAAGACTCCCAATATTTTATCCATCCACCATGAATGAATGTATTTTTTTCCCCTCTAACTACCTATTAATGCCATATATGAAATAATAGAAAAAGAAAGGTAACCAAAATGCCTTTGAAATGTGGCTGTGACACTGAAAGAAGCATCTTAAAAGGCCTTCCAAAACACTAATGATGTCTTTAGAAACAAGATTGTGCCATGATTAAAAAAGCTCAATTTGTGATACAAACCACGCAGTCGGACCATCAAAATTCCCTAATTTTCAGAGGGATTTTGCTGTTTCTTCGTTGTGCAATCAGGCAGTAAACACATAAACTGTTCTTTCTCATCTCTTTCCCACATTTTCCTTTTCTTTCTCCACTGTGCCCGTGCTTCTCAGTTCCAGTTTGCTCTGGCATTTAGTTAATACACTCAGGGGAAAGAATGTTAATGTGAACACCC